TTTTTCTTTTTTTTTTTTTTGTTTCTGTTTGACTGATTCTTGCTCTCTCGTAGAGACATTAGTTTCCATTTGTCCAATTCTAGTTTTTAACAGATTGTTTTCTTCTGTTATTTTTGTACTTCCTTCTTCAACTGGCCAATTGTGTTTTTTAGGGACTTTTTCTTCAGTTACTCTTCTGTTAGTTTTTGTACTTCCTTCTTCAATTGGCCAATTGTGTTTTTTAGGGACTTGTTTTCTTCAGTGTATTTTTTTTCCAATTGGCCAATTGTATTTTTGAAGGACTCTTCTACCTCTCTCATTTGACTATTAAAATCCTTCTTGAGCTCTTCTAAGAAGGCTTTTTGGGCTTCAGACCAGTTCATATTCCCTTTTGTTGTTGCAGATGTGGGTTTGTTGACAATGTTGTCCTCTTCAGAATTTCTGTCTTGATCTTCACTCTTTCCATAATATGAATCTATAGTACATTTCTTTTTACTCATGGTGTTTCATTATTCCCTGGTTTTTAAAGAGATTGAGCTCTCCTGCTGGGGAACAGAGGGTACTGACCCAAGCTTCTTGTGTTGGGAGCCTAGGTCTTGGTCACTGGCTTTGTGTGTGGGGCCTCTTATGCTGGCAATTGGAGGCTGTAGGTTTCTGGCAGCTTACCTCGTGTTGGGCTGGAATCAGCAAGTCTGGAACTTTCAGGCAATTCTAGGTTGCCTGCTTTTCCTTTCCTTTAGCTTTCTTCAGCTCCTTTTAAATGGCTGCTGCAGGATGTTTATCTGCCTGGGGCCCCCTGCAGTGTTGTCTTGCTTGTTTCTGCTAATCCACTCGGAGATTCCTTTGTGGTAGAGTGCCAAAGCACCTGGTTGTTTTCTGAGCTGGTTTTCACCCATTCCTCCCACCCTCACTGAGGCACTCAGAGGTCCAGGTGTTGGTGTTTGTCCTTTCTGGGCTTCAGGATTTTTTCACAATTGGAGGCTACATGGCTCCAACAGCTCACTTGGTGTTGGGTTGGAACCGGAAAGGCGGTGGCTTTAGGAAGCCTTTAGGTTGTTTTCTTCACCTCCTTTCAGATGAATGCAGCAGGGTACTTATCTGCCTAGAGCCCCTTGTAGTTCTGCCTCCCTTATTTTTGCTGAGGCACTGGGAGACCCATTTGTTTGCTGGGCTGCTGCACTGCTGCTCCCAGTCTTTCTTCTAGTTCAACTGTTCCAGGGTTTTTTTTTTCTGGGGTGATATTTTCTGGGTTTTCAGAGGTTAATAGGGGAGAGTGAGAGCAACTACCTTTTCACTCTGCCATCTTGGCTCCCGGAAGCGGAAGCAGAAGTCTCAATAAACATTTTTTAAGCAACTACTATGATCCAAGCACTGTGCTGAGTCCTGGAAATTAAAAACCCAAAAACAAAAAGAAAAAAACAAAAAGAGAAACAACTGTGTCTGACATCAAGAAGTTTACAGTTTGATGGGAGAAGATAATATACAAAAAGAAGCCAAAAAGCAGTGGAGAAGTAAAGTCCAAATGTGCCCCAAAGCCATGTAGATGGTGGGGAAACAGGAGAAAAAAAATGATGCTGAGACCTGTCTTTCAAAAGAAACCCAGGTCCCATAACTCTGACCTCCAGTCAAAGGAGCCAATCCCAGGGCAGAAGAACTTAAGTTAGACTGACTAATGAGTGAACCCAGATGGATCATTAGTGCTTATATATATATCCTTCAGCAACCATCCATTCAATGATATGCTCAAAAATATCCCGGGGTACAATGTCAAACAAGATGGTCATAAATACAGAGCTGGATCAGAGGTTGGAGAGCAATAAATATAATCCCGTCATTTGGTAGGTAAGGGAGAAATTGAGTGATTCACCCAAGGTCACCAAAGTAATCCAGGATTTGGGCCCTGGTCTTTTGAGGCCGAATCCAGTGCTGTCTCACTATGCATTTTTTAAGGCTTATATTTTCAGAATTTTCTTTTCCTTTTTTTTTTTTAATAGGGACCTTTTCCCCCTCTGTCCAGTCTCCTGGCATCCCCATTCTCATCCCCATTCGCTGATTCCTTAACGATTGCCCACAGTGGTCCAGTAATATCATCTGAAAGCCTTTTCAGAAATCTGATACAATTCTTCTGGGCCAACAGAATTAAGCCTTCTTCTTTGACATGCATTTCATTTGTTCTTTCCATTTAAAAAAAAATTCTATATATTCTTCTTAAAAAAAAAGAGATGGAAGAGATATAATATTGTGTATTTCTTCCTTTTGTTACCATTGTACCCCACTACATCAAGGTGCAGGCATAACCCTTCCTGAACCTTGGGCATAAAAATCTCTTTCTATGGTTCTTAGCATTTTTCACGAACTAATAGTTGATTTTGGCCTTTTGCCTTCCTGTCTAATTCTTATGAGACTACGACCCTCTTTTGCATTTGTCCTTTTAAAAACATGCTCCTCCTTGCTTCATTTTCGTATGTTCTTTCTCAAATCCTGACATTCATGAGTTTTCTTTTGAACCAGCTTTCTTTTAGAGCCCTGGATATGGGACCAAGCCTATTATTTCTCTAAACTTTTTGAATTTTGCTTTCCTGAAGTCTGAGATTTGCATTTAATGAGATTCCATGTGCCACTCCTGAGTTACAGTGAAGTTAAGGTTGCTAGTTTCTCTAACTATGGAGTTTCTGTCCCTTCCTCAAGTTAATGAGGAAAAGGTATTTATGGTACAGAAAAATGCACAAAAGGGCTAGAGTTCAAATTCAAGCTCCACTATTTTTCCCTTGACAGAGTTGCTAAAACTTAGACTTAAGATTCTAAGTTTGTGAAATTAGATGATTTTTAAATTCCTTCCCATCTTTCTCATAAATCTTTTTTTTTTTTAATGTGAGAGATTAGAGCTATGATATCATATGTACAAGGAACTCCCAGTGAAGAAACTCACTCTGTTCTTACAGATTTCTACCAACTCTACCACTTACTATTGTAGAGAATTGTTTATATCAGTGCATAAGGAAGTCACTTGCCCAACATCACACAAACAGTAGGTGTTAGTGGCAGGACTCGAACCCAAATCTTCCTGATTGCTAGACCAGAACTTATTATGCTTGGCTGTCTTTCTGAAACCTAGGAACCTGATGTACCATGGTGACTTTCTTTCAAGGTTCCTTGATTTCACTTTGCTAAATGACTTTTCCTTGTTCAGATTTAGTTCACAGGAATGTTGTTGCATCTGACTTTTGAGACAAAGAAGTCTAGAGTAAGGCAAGTAGCATATTTGTCCCATATTCTGCTGGCATAATAAAACTTTGGGTAGTTGTCTGGATTTTTCTTTTTCTGTTTCTTCTTCTTTCTTCCTTTTTACTTTGGGGGGGTATTTTATACAGCCTGATTGTATCTGGGTGTTTGTATGTTTTGCTTCCCCATGAGAATAAGTTTGCTGGGGACAGGGCTGGGGGAGGGGATAGGAAAAATCTGCAAAAGGTAGCTCCTAAGTTGAGACTTGAAGGGAGCACAGAGAGTGAAAGGAACAGAAATGGAAACATTGAATATGAGCAGTTTTTTCAAAAAGTTTGGCTCAGAAAGGAAGGAGAGATCTAAGATAATAGGTAGCAGGGATGTAGGATCAGGTAACTATCATTATGTTGTTGTTACTACTATTATTAATTTTAAGGATGGAGGCATCATAGGCATGTTTATCCACATCAGGGAAGGAGGAGTAGGGGTGGATGGAAGATTACAGAGAAAACAGAAATAACTTGGGACTATTCACTATTAAAGACACCAGAGGACTGGCCCACTTGTGCTTGGCTTGCCTTGGTAAGAAGGAGGGCCTTAAGACAAATGAAGGAGTGTGATGTCAGAGGGATGTGAGCTGTGAGATGTGAGATGAGAAGGGGAGAAAAAAGAAGTCTTGGAGAATGGCCTTAATTTGGTTTTTTGTTGTATTCTTTTTTTAATGTAAAGACAGGACTTCAGCTGAAAGGCTGTGAGAGTCCTGATAATAGATGGGAAGGTTTGGAGCAGTCAAGGGAAATGGGAAAGAGAATGGGAGAGGGAGAATAAAAGGATTTCTATTGTCAGCCTGGCAGAGTTTAATCTAAGAAAGACAAATGAAATTAGGTTGTCTGAATCAATGTTTTTATTTCTCTCAAGCTGGAGACATGCATGCAGAGCTTCAGTCAGACAGCCCCACTAAGGGAGCCAGTCTAGAACTGGGCTCAATTTGGGGGTTGTGGTGCCCAGTTTATATATATTTCCAACTGGGGCTGATATCACTCCATCATCATTTTACTTTTGGACAAAGGAAATACCTCTTCTATCAGCCCACCCTCCACCCATACCAGACCACTCCAGACTTTGGGCTATCTAGGCAGAAGAAGCTGTCTCCACCCAAGCCTGAGCAGGACACAATGCAGCTTTCTACTCTAATGCCTACTGAAAAAAAAGTCCCCTAAACATAGTCAACAAATTGCCACCCAGTCTTACCTCCAAAAAGAAGAAAGCTATTATATCCAAAGGGATCCCATCCCACATTTACTTAGTTCTACATAAGAAGTCTAAATTTTCCTCTGTTCAATTTCCCACCCCTTTTAGTTCTCCCTGGGGATCATCAGAAAAGGCTAAATGACAACTCCTCTACATGCTGGGTCTTCAAATACTTGAAAACGGTTATCATTTCAGCCCACGTCTTCCCTTCTTGGGGCAGCTAGATTGTGCAGTGGATAGAATTCTGAGCCTGGGGTCAAAAAGTCCTAATGAAATTAGGTCTCAGATACTTACTAGCTGTGCCTGCCTCAGTTTCTTCAAATATAAATTGGAGAAAACATTTACCTCCTGGAGTTTTTAGAATGGAATTAGATAATATTTGTAAAATACTTAGTATAATGCCAGGCACCTAGTACGCACTTAATACATGTTTGTTTCCTTCCATCATTCTTCTCTGATGTTGACCTCACCATTTCCTTTAACCTATACTCATAAATCCTGGACACAGTTACCCTCAATCTCTTGAATGACATTTTGATATTTTACAGCTTATCACTGACCCTCCTCAGCCTGTGGTGCCCAGGACTAGACACAGTCCCTCCGATGGGTCTCATCCTAGGAAACTGCACCCAAGGTTGTATTGTTGTCTTCCATATCACTCATTTGATTGACACTGAACCTGCAATACACTTAAAGTTCTGAATCTTTTGTAGACAGACAACTATGTCCTTTATTCCTCATATTTTATTTTTAACATCAGATTTTGGAAACCAAGTAATATTTTATGTTTATCCCTTTCCATTATCATCTTTTTTGATTCATTCTAATGTGCTGAGCTGTCGAGATCTTTTCTATATTATGACTGGTTGATTGTGTTATATAATCCTCCAAACTCATGAGAAAATTTTATAAGTATATGAAGTATACTTCTATCCAAGTCAATGATAAACATTTCAAGCATCATAAGGCCAAATATAGACATTTAGGTCACTCAATTGCAGACGTCCTTCCAAGATGATATTAAGACACTTAATTGGTTTTTGAAAAAAGATCATACATTTAGAGTAGAAAGCATTAAGCTTCATAGACTATTTCAAAACTTTTTGATGCCTAGCATGGTTCCATTGCTTTCCTGTTTTTCTGCCACCGTGACAGAATAAGTACAATGGGGCTATAATTTTTCTTTGTCTCATTGGCTGTGTTGCCCAAAGAATGCATTCCCTAGAGCCAAGACTATTGCTGCTGGTGGTCCTGCCCATAGTTAGAGTGACTGTTACTTGGAATTAACATCAAATCTGTCTTTTAGGTTGTAGTCAAAGAATTTAAGCATTAGAGAATCTTCGAGGACAGCTAGGTTGGGTAGTAGATGACAATTCAGTCTCTACTTATCTACAGCTGCTTGGTTTGAACTCCAAGGAACATCATGTCTGTGTTCCATATTGACTATTGATTTTCCCACCACCACCCATTTCTGGCTTCCTTTTGTCTTTTGTCTTCTGTTATTAAATAATAAAATTCTTCTTTTTCTTATTTGTACCTCCAGGGCTTAGTACAGTACCTGGCTCATGGTAGGCAATAAATAAATTTTTCAGTAATTGTTTACAGAATTTAATTGAATTGAACTTCATCTTTCCATCTGGTCCTGAGTTCAAGGTCCTTCTCTTCCTCCTGAGTTCAAGTCCTGTCTCAGTCATCTACTAGCTGTTTGACTTCAGGTAAATAACTTAACCTCTCTCACTTTCGGTTTCCTAATATGTAAAATGAGAATAATAGAAGTGGTGTTTCAGACTCAATCCTTTCTTTACTTGAAGAGTTTTTAAGCCTAGACACCTTTTGCTCATCATTCTGTCCTCACTGGAGCCCTGTCTCTCTCTCTCTCTCTCTCTCTCTCTCTCTCTCTCTCTCTCTCTCTCTCTCTCTCTCTCTCTCTCTCTCTCTCTCACACACACACACACACACACACACACACACACACACACACACACACACACACACACACAGAATTTTCGCATCAAAAATCTAGACATTCCCTCCATGGCCTCTTCTGGAATCACTGGGTTCCATAGGCAGCAGGTTGAAACCATTTAGACCCTTTCAAGGTTGCATCTAGCTGGAATATTCTATCACTGTGAGGGTATACTTTATAGTATGTGAACATACTATGAACACAAAAATATTTTAAAAAATCCTTGGTTTGCCAAATCTTAATAACTTCTGCTTTTTTATCAGCCATTCAATCAATTTTCTTTCCAATTGAAAATCTTTTGAGGGAAGAATCTTTTTTTTTTAAGGATTCTAAAGAGCTTTTTTCCCTTCCCAGGGATTAGAAAATGAAAGCATAACTGGATGAACAGGCTTTAGCAAATAAATGAATAGTAAGTTTTACTGCCCTTGGCCCAGTAAAAGCCTGAATCACTTTTGCCAAAATGACACTCATTCTTTATTTGGTCTTTTTCTATTAGCCTTCTTTCAAAGAAATTTTAATTCAAATCCACGAACATTTATTAAGAACCTACTAAGTGCCAGAAACCTTGCAAGGAAGAGAATGTAGAGAAAAGAACACACAGAGACATTACAGGTCCTATATCCAGACAGCTTACAGTCATCTGACATCTTTAATTGATCAATAATAGTTAATAAACCTTTATTAAGCATCTGCTCTGTGCTAATCACTGGGGATACAAAAAGAGGCAAAAAGATAATACCTGGTCTTAAGGAGCTTACAATCGAATGGGGGAAGTCTTCCTGTAAAAGGAAATTTTACTTAAGACTTTAGGAAGCCAGGGAATGTTAGGCAACAAGAGAGAAATATTTATTCTGAAGAAGTCTGAGTATTTAAAAGGCATTCTTGAAATAACTCAAAACTAACTCTTTTCTTTTTTGGGGGGGAGTCAATCAAAATCATTTGAACCAGACCACAGGATCACAGATTTTGAGCTAGTAGGGACATTAGAAGATGTTTCTTCCTCGTCAAAATATTTCATACCATAACAGGGCAGGAAAAAAAAATACTTTTGCCAGCAGACATACGGCTAGAGAAGAGAGACAGAAAAATGTTTTAAGTATTTTATGAACCATCTACCCCTCCCACAACTCCCCCTCACCCCCCTCACCACTAGCAGCTAGGTGGCACAGTGGATAGAGTACTGTGCTGGGAACCAGAAAGACATTTTCCTGAGTTCAAATCCAGCCTCAGATACTTTATTAAGTGTGTGACCCTGAGCAACACACTTAACCTTATTGGCCTCAGTTGCTCATTTGTAAATGAGTAAATCTGTATGTCACCTGGGGAAGGAAACACCTGTCAACCATTTACCAAAGATTTGGTCCAAGGAAACAAACAATCAGTTTTTCCCTTAACCAAGGATTTGTCCAAAGAACAAACAGAACAGAGTTCCCCCTTACCAAAGGTTTGTTCAAGAACAAACAGAATGGGGTTCACCTTACCAAAGATTTGAAGAAGGGACCAACAGAATCAGGCGATACCTATGCAATAATGTGCTTATTTATTCTCATTAAACCAGAGAATCATGCATGATGGAATCAGAAAATAATTTGGAACTCAGAGGGAGACAAGCTGAAGGAGTCCATTCATACACTTAGAGCAATCCCAACTCGGGATGCTTGTGTCAACCCAAAATTATAGTCTCCATAGGTGTTTAACTATAATATGAAAAAGAAATTTCTTAATGGGATAGAGTGTAAATACAATAAGATAAGAGAATGTCAAGGTGTCAACTGAAGTTATAGATCCAGGATGTCTATGTTTCTTTTATCATTAATGTGACAATGTACATACACACACACACACACACACACACACACACACACACACACAGGTATTCCATAACAAAGCATAGCGCGTGTCCATAAAATACCAACATAAGAAAAGTCCCATTATTCAAGATGGTGTCCAGTTCGAAGTGCCTTGCCCTTGGTAGTAATAAACAGAAGAATGTTCTTGATCAGCTTCATCTGGCCTTGTAGCTGCTTACACAAGAAAGGATATTTTGGACTCACTCCAAGAGCAAAGCAAGGCATGCTTGTCATGCCAGAGCACACAAAGCATTATGGTAGGCTAAATTCAGAGTGGGCCAAAAATGTCTTTCTCCTAATTGGCCAATCCAGGTTTTAGGCTTTCTCAGGTGATAGGAGGCCCAAAATGGTTCACATAACAAAGCACTCCAATATCTCTGCCAAGAAAACTCAAACAGGCTCACAGAGAGTTGAACATGACTGAAGCAACTGAAAAACGTTTCCAGGTGATCATTTTTAGTACTCTTAAGCCATTACGTTCACTGAGAACTACTACTTAACTCAGACATTAGGAGCTCTAGATCAAGAAATCTTTGAAATTGAACGTATTTCAGCAATGAACCATATTTCCTAGGATCCGAGTTTGAGAGTTATGAAGGGACCTTAGAGACCAGTTAGTCCAAACCTTGTATTTTACTGATGAGGACACCACGCCTCAGAGAGGGGAAATTATTTGTTCAAGGTTTCATTGTTCTAATTCCAAATCCACCAGTGTTTATGCCATTAGAGGAATCTTTTAAGCTCTTTTTTTTAGCTTTATTGATACTGCTAAAAGTGCAATCTCCTTTACTACAGCTAAATGAAATGGCAATAAATATATAAAAAAGAGTTGTAATTTCAAAATGGACAATATTACGGATAGGTATTACCTCAATATTTGTGAAGAGTATTTTTAAATTTTTAGACTTTTTTTTTCCTTTTTACTTCACAGTAGTAGTTAAGGGCATCATTACTCAATATAATAGTTTTTTAATAATAAAATAACCAACATTAATATTCATTAATTCAAATTTTTCAAGGAGATTATATAAATGATTAAATATGACATTGCAGATTGCAGAAATTAAACTCCCACTGAATAGGCATGCATGATCAAGTAATGAGAATCATTAAAAAAAAGCAACTTGCTAGTTTTCATAAGTGTCTGAGAACAACATTCCCATAGCATAAACACAAATCCCCAAATGTTTTTGAGAATTGAATGTTTAACTATTTTAACCAAAACATCATCATAGTTGTAAAACTGTTGCCCCACAATTGCTCAGACATAATGCCCACCCAGAAAAGTGTTAATAAACAGTGTTTTTAATAGATGTTAGCATATTGAATCCTCATAAGCTCCAAATTGCATGCAATTTACAGTTATGAAAACTATAATGACAAAGAGGAAGATGCTGAAGATGTGTGGGAACAAGAAGAAATCCACATCATCATCATTCTTTCTGCCTCTAATAATAGACCAAGAATGCTTTCCATGAGCCTAAAGAAGATAAGCCACCATCATTATGTTCAACTTCAAAAACAAACAAACAAAATCTAGTTATTTTAGTAATACTCTGTAAATAATTAAATACAAAATAAAAATAGTAGGATGGTGTTTTTTTTTTCCCCCAGGACCATTGCTATATGAATTCTATCAAATAGGATTAGAAAAAGAAATATTAATTAAAATAATGATAATAAGGGCAGTTAGGTGGTACAATGGAAGGAGTGTTGGACCTGGAGTCAGGAAGAGCTGAGCTCAAATCTGTTCTCAGACACCTACTACCTGTGTGACCCTGGGCAAGTCACTGAACCCTGTGCCTCAGTTTCCTTACCTATTAAATGAGCTAGAGGAGGAAATGGCAGACTAGACAAGTCACTTGACCCTGTTTACCTCAGTTTCTTCATCTGTAAAATGAGCTGGAGAAGGAAATGGCCAACTACTCTAGCATCTTTGCCAAGAAAACCTCAAAAGGGGTCATGAAAATTTTAACATGACTGAAAAGACTGAACAACAACAAATTGTATTAAATTAAAAAAAAAAGTATTAAAACAAATTGCATTTGTATAATGCTTTAGCATTTACTTAGGGTTTTCCTTACCCTATGTCACCCTATGTAACATGTAATATTGCTGTAGTCAGTTTATTGTTAAGGAAACTGCTTTTCAGAGAGAATGCCTAGATGGTCACACAGCACTAGAGGCAGAATTTCAATCTACTTACCTGAAGAAAATGGAAAATTCCTATTTAGCCTGGAAATAACACCAATGAAATAGAGCCTTTACAAAAATAGGGCACTTTGCCCCAGGTAACTGGTACCTAGTGGTGATATTTGAATTTGATTGCCAGCATTTGCAGCTAATTAGCTTTTCCAAACTTACTCCTTGGTGTTGATAAATCCTTATCCAGCACCGTGGTCACAGGGTTTCCATTTGTAAAGATCAGTTGCTTTCAAGGCTTATCCATAATATTGTTAATTTCAAAGTTACAACTTTTTCATATTTGTTGGTGTTCCATTTAGCTGCAGTTAAAGGAGATTGCACTTTTTAGAAGTGTCAATAAAACTAGTAAGTGCTTGAATGATTTCTCCAGAATGAATTTGTTCAATATATTGTCATAGCTTTCCTCACCTAGCTTTTACAATTGTAGTCAGGACAGAAGTGACATACTTTTTTAAAAAAATTATTGCACTAGCACATGGGTACAACAATACAAGACAATCAACAGTTCTTGGTGTGCTGTTTAATACAAATTGCTTAGCTTATCACATCCAGTTTTTTTCACTGTTACCACCATTCAAAATTTCCTTATGATAACAACTGATTTTCCTTGTGGTCAATA